TAGCTATGTATTTAGCATAGCACTCCAAAAGTAAGTGATTGTTTGACCAAAGTGTTTGTGATGTAGTTATGATTACAGCACAAAGAAGAGGCTTCTAATATTCCCTTAGCAGAAAGCATTACATTTAACCGATACAGATAACAATGTAAGAGAAATTATTGGGAGCTCAACTGGTAAGTTTGCTTAGGGGGGAAGGAAATCAAAGGAAATCAAATTGAACTATTCACTGATAACCGTGCTCGGGAGAATACGCAGATAAATGTTTATTCCTTAACCAAACTATTAATTTGCTGTTCAGTGTGCAATGTGGATCACAGGTTGGCTTGGTGAATTTTTCCCATATTAACTTAATAGCCTTGAATGAACTTAACTAGAAAAGTTAAAAGTAGCTGATGTAAACGCTGAAACTATATCGTATTGGATCTTTGTTTTTATCGGTTCCTTTTGTTGCTTGTTTGTTTGTTTCTTTGTTTTTACAGTCCCAAGAATGAGAGCTTTCCTTGAAAACTTGTACAGGGGTGAGGCTGAAACCGTTGTAACTAAAAGTTAGTAAAACGTTGCGAAAGGTTAATGGAGAGAAGAGGAGTGCTAAAATGATAGTTAACGTGTGCAATGTTACAACATCATTCAATATTTCAGGGTTTTGAGGCAGTTTTCCGGGTTCAGTATTGTTCCCATCTCTCTCTTAATGTTACTCTCCAGAAGTAACATTAAGCATGTAACTGTTTCTATCTTTGTTCATATTGAATTTATAACAGATCCTGCATCCTGTTAGTTTGGATATTATTTACTAATTATAAAAGGCAGGATAAAGGAACAACAAGCTCCCCTTATTAAAAAAAAAAAAAAAAGTAAAGTGAAATTTAATAGGGTAATACATAGTTAAAGATTACCAGGTATGATTTTCACAATAATGGTAGCAAAAGTAGACTGCCTAGTATCCCACTTGGCAATGTGTCGCGCTTAGGTCCTTGCCAAGGTAACTGGCGGGGGCGTGCGGGGGGGAGAGAGAGAGAGAGTCCACTGCCTGTAATGCCTATCAATTGCCTGTCAGTCATCATGGTATATCAAAGAAATGTTCTTCTTTCAGTACTCTAAGCATAGCTTTGAGGAGGGGAGTATTCACACCAGCTAATTTTAGATGTCTGACTTAGAGCCCTGAATGAGGGTCTTGTCTCTTTCTAAGGTCCCGGAAGCCCCAGTGGAGTGTGATAAGACACGGTGGCGACCCAGAGGGCTCAGCTTCCCGAATCCAGCGCCTAACCTTAGCTACCTCTGGCTACCACCTTAAACATTTACATGGCGTTACAGAAGATTGTCGCGTTGTAGTAATGTATCTGTTTTAAAGTCTTAACTGTCCTTAAGCTTTTGCTGCTGAAGAAATAAAGAGTGGACTGTTAGGGAATTCCTTTGAATCCTTAGTTTGCGCTGGGAGGCCAATTGGTTTTGTTGCTGCTGTACCGCATGGTGCTGCGCGTTATGTTTCAGAGTGGTTGAGCAGCGCAGAGGGAAGCAATTTACCCTGTCGCGGCTGCTTCATCCCTGTATATGCTGGGCAGGAGTGATCTCTCCTTTCCTGAAAGAGCTGAGAGAAGCTTTTGGAAACAGCAGGCAGAAAACCTGTGGGAAGCGAGGAGACTCTGGGGCAGCTGTAAGAGCAACAGGGACTTTACTTGAAGCCTGGAAGTGACTCTCAGCCATCTCGTAGAGGTGGTCGTGAAAAGGGAGGTTTGCTTGGATCCCAGAAGCGGCTGTGTGCATCCTCAGTGCAGAATATTGACAGATTCACTGAACTAAAAAGCAAGACTAGAGGAGAGGACCCTCCCTGCAATGACAGAGGAGGGAGATAGGAGATTTATCTATTTAATCTACCTCACCCAGCATGTCAGAAAACTCTCTGTTTAAATGGTTGCCATGTTCCAATTTACTATTTTTAGTAAAAATATTTGCTATGTTTTAGTAAAGCCTAGTCTTAAAATCTTTCAGTCGTGCAAAATCTCTTTTTGCTTCAAAGAAAAGGGCAGGTGGTTTTACCTCGAGGCTCTGGACAGAGTAAGGTCCCATCACAGTACGAAATGTGTTTTTAGTCCCTGATAGGGAAGCAAACAAATATATAAGTGAGAGGTCGTCATTCTGTTTATTACCCTCAATAATAGGAGATAAGGAAGATTGTTTTGGAAAGTTCTCTTTACTTAAAAGGTGTTCAAATCCTATAAAACTGGACACAGACATAGAATTTTAGAAGATAATCTTTACTGGATCAGCAATTTTAAGGTCAGGGTCTTCATAATCCAAATGTACCATCTTTCTGCTTAATAGTTCTTCATAAATTAATCTTCCATTAATTTGACTATTTTCTGACCCCGTGTGCGCTTTGAGCATCCACAACATTCTGTGGCAGAGTTCCACAGTTTAATTTTAAATTGAATGAAAAGTACCCCTCCCTGTTTGCTTACTTTCATCCTGCCATTGATTTATGTCATTTCATGCCCTCTTGATCCTGTATTATGAGAAATTTAACAACTCTTTCTTTATTCACTTGTCTACATACTACGTGCTTCTAACCCCACTTCATGGTGTTTTTTTCTGGAGTAAATATTCCTGTCCTTTATAGTCGCTTGCTGTTCAGAAACCGTCTCAAACCCATCATCATCCTTACATACTTTGGAGTTCTTGCATGCTGTGAAATTCTACTATATCTCTTCTCATCTAGATTTTGTTTTTAATACCCTGAATAACTTATCAACAAACTCTGAGCCACTTGAGCACAAACTCTAATACAGATTGCTCAAGGACTAAGAGCTTTCCATATTGAGAAAGCTCACTATTTGTTCCCATTTTTCGCTTCTTCTATTTTAAGTGCTCTTCATTTATTGAAGCCTTTCCTTCTTTTCCTATGGCAACTGAGTTACTTTAGAATAGTTTATCATGGAAACTTTTGGAAATCAGAGACTATAACTGTCCAGGTATCCTTTTTCACATGCTCAGTGTTGCTCCTGTGAATTATGATTTCCCTTTTGAAAAGCTATCTCAACTATTTCCGATACGATATGTTCATCTATGCATCTATTGATTGTTCTTTAGTGTAATGTTTACTGATTTGTGTTGAATGAAACTTGGACTTACTGGTCTGTAGTTCATAGTGTGACCTTGCATCCTCTTCCTCTTTCCCAAATCGTAAAAAACAAAACAGAAAAAATCCATACCATCCGTTCCTGTGGTTTTGATGCATTTTGAAGTGATGACCATGTAAATAGTTAAGTAATTTCCTTTTGAACTTTTGGGCAAGCGCTATTTCGTCTTTAGATTTTGCTACTGTTCACTTTACACATTCATTCTAAAACCTGTTCTTGTGATATTTCAGTTTTAGACAGATCTCTAAACTATCTCTGCTAAAAAGGGATTTGTGATACCTTGGGGCATGGGAACCTCCAGAGACCCTCAATGTTAAATTTTGGTTTGGAGAGTTCATTTACGTTTTCTTCTAAAGCCTTATCTTTTTGAACACTCTTTTTGATCATCTGTTAGCCCTACAGTCTTTCGGGCAGACTTCCTGCTCCTGTTGTGTTTAAAAAAGGATTTAATACTGGTCAGTATGCTTTTAGCAAATCTTTCCTCAAACTCTTTTTTGTTTTTCTTTACCTGGCCTGCTGTTTTGGGTTTTTCCTTGCCAACGTTTATATTATTTTCATATATTATTTTCTTCATTTGGACGTGACATCAACTTTTAAAGAATGTCTTAGCCATTACAAACTTTCTTAATCTTGCTATTTAAACATCATAGTCTTGTTTGGGCTCCAAAGTCTTTTTTCTTCTGATAGTTTATTTACATTTTCTGTGAACCTCTAATACTTTGTTTTAACTATTCATCTGTTTGTGTTTTACCATTTTGGATGTTCCTTTGAATTTGCTTTAAAAAAGCCCCTTTATTTTTATGTAGTGCTCCTCTATGAAATGATGACTGCACTTAATTTTTTTGTTTCTGCACATATTTAAACCTAGCTACTTTTTGATCAGTGTTATTGGCCTCTGCAGTGTTAAGGTTCATTCCAAGATTTGCTTTTTCTCCTGTGGGTTCATGGCCAGCAGTCATTTAGGTGCTTCAGGTCATACCCTTGCTTACCTATTACAGGAGTAACTGAAGTCTTCCACTGTTACTGTGTGTTTCTGCATAAATAGTCTCACAAATCCCCATTAGAATGTGTCAGTGACTTTTATCATTACAGTAGGTAGAACAGTCCTAGCAGTAATTTTTTCCTGTTTTGGCCTGATTTTTAAGTCTACAGACGTGAAATTTCTAATATAAACTGTGGACCCTCATCTGTTAAATGGCCCCAAGAACAGGTATGCATCATCTGGGGTGACCGGGAACAGCGGTCCCAGTGAACCCAGTCCAGCAGTCCAGTGCATGAAGTCTCAGCTCCAACATTTTGGGTGGTTTGGTTATACATTTTAACACCTTGCAACATGCTGTGTCAGTATTATTTGTTTAGATGGCTAGATACACAGAACGATTTATTTTTCTGTGTTTACTCAATGCCTAGTGTGATTCCAATTCTTAGTTTGTCCTTAGGCAGCTTTGGAACATGATTAATAGTACTAAATATCTTTTAAGCGCGGGAATAGTAATTTTAAGTGTAGACCTTCCAGAGCTTCTTCCTCTGACATTCCTTACCTCTTATGTTCATCTGTAACAAATAAGTACCTGATTAAAGTTAGACAAGTCTACTTTGTTTTTGCTGGGTTGTCACTGTACCTGTGGGCTTGACTGTATGTCAAAAAAAAAAGTTTATTTTTAAAAGTTAGCACTTCTATTTTTTTTCTATCATTTCTTTTTACATTCACAGTTATTTTATAGAATTTCACTATGGAAAAAATTGGAAACCAGGAGGGATCTTCAGAATTAGATCTGAAGTATGTTACAAATCTTTGGCAGAAACTTATGCTTTGTTATCTTTTAAAAAGAATTAAGAATTGTGTGTATTTTTCCTCTTTTGTAGATGCCTGGGCCTGTCTACAATTTCACCGGCTGTATAGGAGTCATAGAAATCAATAATGTGGGACCTTTCAACTTCTCTAATGCCATGGGCATAAATAATATCGACAATTGCAGGTAAACTACCCTCTGTGCCTTTTCAAATCAGAAGAAGCTGTTTGTGCTGATTTTTCTTTCTTTCTAAAATAGGGTGACCATTCTAGAGAATTTCAACAATGTTTATGGAAACACTAACTATACAGATGGATATTTTACTTTCTTTTATACTTCTTAAGCCTTTTCTGTATGGGAGACGCTTTTTGCAGAGTAGTTCAATTAAGCTTGACAGCTTATTTAGAGTGGGTTTTCACTCACTGGCTGCTGAAACAGTGTACTAAACAAGACAATCTTAAAATAAAATATAGGAGTGGGCAAAGTGAGGTGCTGTTTGTGTTTCTATTCATGCTTTTAGGATTTTCATTAATCTTGTAACAAGAGCTAGAGACTTGCCGCTGCTCATAGTATACATAAGTTTATGAAAACATCGGAAAACACTGCTTCTGAACATAAAAAAAAAACCCACTCGATTTCACTTTTGTATATTCGCAATGCTATTAATCATGCCCTGATTGAAATAAAAGGCTATACAGTGGCAGTAGCGTAGATTAGGATTCTATTCTGGCACATAAAATGTTTAAGCCATGAAGTGGAAACGAATCGAAAGTGGCAGTGATTTGTATTTGTGGATCATGATGTCTTTCAGAAGAAGAGAATGTGATTTTAGTTGTATTGTATATGTTCTCTAACCCTGGAGAATTTTCATAAGCCTTTTTATACATGACTTTAATTGTTTTGCCTAAGATTTATAGAATAGCTTAATTGATGTTTCTATTCCTAGCTAAACTGTATTTTAGAAAGCGCATCGTAATTAACTACAGCATTAAGTGAATATTCATAAGAATTGGACTGTGCCACTGGTCTCTTCATGGACTTGTACATATTACACTCAAATTTATGAAAGGAGTGTAAACATCCGACTTGGTAGTCAGTAAAGCAGCTGCCTCAAGTCCTAGGCATCTAAGCTTTTGTGCATAAAACTTACCCTGAGCACAGAGTTCTGCTTACATTCCTGCACAGAACTGTCACTATCTTTAGACAACTGTCTCAGTGTCTTCTCCTTGCCCAGATATGGCCAAGAGATTAATCTTTGCACCATTTGAGTTCCCTTAGGCATTTTGATTGGTAGGTATACTCCAAGTGAGTTTAACAAGCACTGGTGGGTGTAAATTCTGTACAAATCTGGCCTCTTTTGTGATAAAACCCCAGCTAAAAGAGAAGAGATGACTCCACTCTTGCCTGTCACAGAGTTTTTTCCTAACTATCAAACAATGGTCTTCTCAAAAACGGGGTCACATGCTGTTGTGGACCTATGCCTCTGTGAAGAATGGAAATGAGAGCAAGTGAACAGGCTACTTCATCCTGTGATGCAGGTATTAATTTAGGAAAAAAGATCCTAGCTTCAAAGGCTAGTTACACATTAGAAATTAAGTAATCACTGGAAGGAAATAATAAACCTTCTCAGGTGTCTCGTTTAGTTACTAGATTAGGAGGTCGTTCTCCATTTTTGCATAGGCATTAGAGCTTTGATCTCCCAAATCCTAGGTGAGATGAAGCTCTATTTTTTGAATTACTGGATAAAAGAGGGATTACTTGAAAACCAGCACTGTTACTATCTTCTGTACTTTTTTTTCATTCTGCAATGTAATCTTTTCTCTAAGGTAGGTGTCTATGTCTTTGGTTTTTATCACACCACTCTCTCACCAGTGTTTCCTTTGGCAGGTTTATGTAACCTATGAGAACCATGAGACCAATGAGATCTGCTTTATCCAATCTGTGTATGCTACTGTAGATGGGAAGGAGAAAGCTTTGAGGCAAAATTGACTTAGTTCCTTTTTAAACTTTAATTTACTTTAGGATGTTACATTATCTGTTATAATCTATACAATTATATGCCAAGATTTATTGCATTTTGTATTGATTTTGATATTTCCCTCCATTTTTAATCAATTAGCAATTTAATCAATTAGAAATACGGTTGATGCTATATAATATTGACAATAAAGATTGCTTGAACATTGAGTTAGAACTCCGTGATTACACTCTGGGGCTGTTTTCTTGCAAATGCTTGTCATGTAGGTGTAACTACTTAGGTAAGTAAAATGACATCATAGTTTGTATAGATTAACCTTGAAAATAGTCTGATGCATAAAAGGATGTTGGAAAGGATTTTAGACCTCCTCAATCTCAACTGTCCTGAGTAACATATTCCTTTTCCCTCTTTGCTCTGCTTCCCAGAAAATGTCCATAAAGCCTAACTGCCAGGCTCCTTGAGAAGGCATGTTTGTCTTGAGGAGGAAGGAGCAAGCGCTTGAAGAAAGTTGCTTAAATAAGGCAGCATGGGATTACATATGTTACAGATAGGGGAAGCTGGTAAATGCTAGGAAGCTGGTAAATAAGATTTTATTTTGTGTACTTATGCAAGGGTTAGCAGAATTCATATGGTACCGTTGATGCAATGGTGCTACACTTTAAGCTGTCTGGCAATTCCAGAGTAATCTACGATGTGGATATAGATAAAGCACTCCAAAAAGTTTCTCCCAGTGAAGCTCTTTTTATGCCCATAAGAACATCAGTGCATTTGTCTTCCAGTAGCACTGTGTATTTATGTTCTCTCGCTTGTAATTTTTCTTTAATTAATCTTCTTCCTATCATCACCTTTTTCTAGATTTTTACTCTTTTCAAATGCCTCTGCTTTTGTGTATTAAGCCTTACTCAAGTGTCTGACTAATACCATTCATTTAACTTGCGTTTACTTCTTGGCAGCCCCAGCAGCATGGATTACTTTTATTATTGTGGTTTAGAAGGTCAGCCAAAGGGAGACATGCAAAAACTTCTTAAAGTGTGTGGGTTTGTGAGTAAATTTTAAGTTTATGAATCTTTAATAGGTTTGAAATTTGCTCAGATGTGTTCTACCATTTTTTTAAATGCATCTATTTGAATTTTAAAATACCAAAAGGATGAGCTAATATGTGCATTGAATATAGAGAACTTTCAAAAACAAATGTTAGATACAGTTCATTAACCTTTTCAAAACTATTGGCATCGTTACTTCAGGACAATTCAATATCTTTCAAAGCACATTATTTACTCTGTGTTGCTTATATCTGAGATTAATGCAATACAGGTTGCTATTTAAGTTTTTCTGAAAATTAAGAGGTTAAAAATATAAAGCTATAATACTAATTACCCTGGCATATGTATCTTACTATCTGCTGTCTAAAATTCCTGAAATCCATAGGGCAAGAATGCTATTTGTTCCTCTAGCATTCAGATTTGTAATGCAAATATCGTATGCTGCAACAGAGGGAGCATTATTTTAGCTCAGCAGAACTAAATGGGAGATGGGGACAATGTGTTGATTGCTTTTCATGTAATTTAGGAACAAGGTGATGCCTAAGTTGAAGAGTGGAGTCGGTACTGGGCAATAGGATGAGATCGGGGACCTAAAACTTGCAATAACTCTCAGGATTCTGAAAGTTTCAAGACTTGTTGGCATGCTCAGAGGCACTGAGGTTTCAAGAGTGAGGCTTTAGCTCAGTGAGTCTAGAAGATCACTGCCCAGATCCTTCAGCTAAGCATATGCATCAATACAGCACAGTGACAGCTGTCATTCCAATAAACGGGTATCAGTGAAAGCGTTGGAGGTGGTGCAGATCAGTTCTGTATGTAGTAGATGAATGAGGAGATCACATGCCCAAGGACAGACAGATTTGTATTCCTTCTCGATCTGAGGGTATTTGGACCTTTTTCCACAACTTAGAAAGGAATGCAGAGCCTTGGGGCTAGAGTGAGAAACCAGAACTGTGGTTGGACGTCTCAAATGGAAGACAGCAGACCTGAGTTCTCCTTTCTACTCCTCAAATTACATAATTTATTAGAGAATGAAAAGTGCTATTTTATCTTCTGAAAGAGTTCTGGAAACGAGTTTTGATTTTCCAATAGAGGAGGCAATGGAATAAGAGAAGGGCAGAAAGTTGGAGCTGTAATACTATGGAGTAGAGCTAGGGGACTTCTCCTGTTCTCACGGGCTGCAAAATGTAGGGTCGTTTTACTACAGTGCAGGAAGGAATGAGTTTACCAAACAGTTTGGTCCTGCAGAGCCTTTCTCTTCAGCAAAGTTCTGGACTGGGGTTGAACAGCTGCCAGAGACCCAGTTAAGGAGTATTAATGAGGATTGGCAGGACTAGGTTTATGGATTATTCTGAGGTTGCCTTTCAATACAGGCATACCTTTGATTTTGATCATCATAGTATCCTAAGATGGGTACTATGGTCCTTCTGCTCTTACAAAGTCCTCAAGTAATCTGCAGACTACTTGCGTCTCTTGCAGTCCTGTAGTGCAAACTCCTCTTCCATCTTTCTGTGGCACAGAAAGAAGAAAGGGAAGGTGGGAGCTTGTTGTTGACACAGTCTGTTTAAGCCTTCAGTTCACAGATATGCTACAGCACGTGACACTGTAGGGAGAAAACAACAGGATGCATGTACTGTACTGAGGGCTCATCAGAGCTTCCTGCCATGAGAGGTACCCAAAGTGGAATGTAGGAAATTGCAGAGTAATGGCTGTCTGGTATAGGCTGGAAAATGAGCTTAAGCTTGACTCTCAGTGCAGATATGCAGCAACAAAAGTCCTCTGAGCTATGTTGCTTTTGCTTTCAGAAAGTGTTGTAATAGAACCATATCAATTAGTAAAGGTCAGCCTCCAAAAGATAGTTTTCTAGAATTGCTCTAGAATATATACTTATCTAAATCTTATCAAGCTTTATTTTAAGATGCTGTTTAAACTAGTCCTGTCTCAGAGCTATACATATATAGGCAATTTTGAAAGAGATTGTATGATGGCCAACAGTACTAAACCAGACAACTGGAAATAACAGGTCTCTGGTGAGTTCTGTTTAGAAATGAATCTTTAATTTTCTTTCTTCTGAAATAAGAAAGATACTTGGGATGTGTTAATACAATATAAAGGTTCTCCATTTCTGAAAACATTACTGTAATAGAATTTCTGGAAAAATAAAAATC